CTCTTCTCCATGCTGAACAAGCCCAGCTCCCTCAGCCTGTCTTTGTACGGTGCCCCTACCACCTCCCTTCTCATCCACAATGCTCAGCTTTTAGCAAGAACCAGTTGGCCAATGCACACAGCGCGGGGCCAGCAGCCCCATTCCAGAGCTTTGGTCCCCATTCTTCCTAAAAAGTTCTGCAAAGTTTTTGTTTTCTTCATCATTATAGCACAAACAGTGTTGGGAATGGAAGATACGCAGGAAAGGATGGGGGGATGGCCAGACAGTAAGAGGCCTTGGAGGGCTTTAGAAAGAACCACCTCATGTGGGGCAGGGCTCCTGCTAAGATCTGTTGGACCAGCAGGGTGTTAGACTGCTGGACAGGAAACCCACCCACTGCTTTTTCACCCTTTAAGGAAGGGTTATTACTCTTCAAACACCAAATCTGGGATTTCCCCACCCACGTGGTTCTCCACCATCTTCCTTGTCGAGAATACGACACAAAATGGCGGCGCAACCCATGGTGGGAGCTGAGGAGTGGGGGAGGCCTCAGTGCAGCTCTTGGGACCGTGCCCTGCAGGGTCCCACACGTGCTGATGCCCTCCCTGGAGGGGAGGACTCCCCAGGGAAGATGTCCCACGTCCCTCCAAAGGCCTCCAACTGCTCCACATCTCACCATGCAGCCGCACTCCGTGGCTGGGAGCACTGATGGCAGCGCCCGCCCCGCGGCTCCCAGCCCTGGCAGATGGATCAGCACAGTGTTTCTATTTTTGCTCCACTCCTGAAGCTATTACTGATCCCTCCTAATGCCTTTGCTGCTTTCCTTTTTTTTTTTTCTAATCCAACACAATCATTTCTGTGCAGTCCTTTGCGCCGGTTTCTAAGGCAACACCGCTTTCCAGGATGAGCTCCTCCTTGCCAGCGTCTCCAACCAACATCATCTCTAATTAAGCATCATTACCAATAACAGCTGGTGATCAGGCTGACCGGCCCCATCCCTCACACACCGCTGCCAGGCACACTTGCAGGGCTGTGAGCTCACACACCTGCTGGGACCCCCACACTTTCACCACACAGGCAGGACCTGTAGCGTGCCCTCCTCATTTATCCCCCACAAAACCTGTCTGATAGATACAAAGGTGAAGCAGAACGCTCAGCATCCAGCCATCACAGCTTTGAACCACGAGGCGTGGAGCCACGCTCAGCACAGGCTGACTGCTTCCAGGACAGGACGTCCACAGCTCAAATTCCACTTGGAACAGAACACAACAGTGAGGCTGGGAGGAGTCTTCAAACATCACAGAACGGCCTGGGTTGAAAAAGACCACAATGATCATCTGGTTTTGACCCCCCAGCATCATCCACACAACTGCAGTTTACTTTGGAGCTTGCACACGGAACCATCGCACGGTTTGGGTCGGAAGGGACCCTTAAAGGCCACCTGGTCCCACTCCATGCAGTGCACAGGGGCACCCACAGCCCCATCGGTGCTCAGAGCCCACCCCCTGCCCTTGGGTGCCTGCAGGGACACAACCTTACAGGAGCACATCCTCATAGGAACACCTTTGGAGCTACAAACTGAGAAACAGCACACAGAGGGGCCTCTGGATCCCTAGCAGCCTGCTACATTGCCTTCTATATTCACCTCTTCATTAACACTGGAACTGATATCCCCGTGAACAGAACTGAATACACACCGGTGCTTTTTGGAGGAAAAGGAGGTAAGAGCAAAGTTCTCTTGTTGCTTCATAAACACGTTTAGGGCTGACAGGAGAACTGGCTGGTGCCATTGCCTTGCTTCCACCTCCTACAACTACCTGGGATAATTAGCAAATCATCAAACACAGCTCATGGCCCCACAGGTGAGCACAACCCATGGCTTCATTAACGTGGTGTGATGTTATCCTGATAGTTAAGAAAGCACCGTTACAGAGCAGCTCTGTTGTTAAGGACACGTCCCCAAGCACAGAGGTGGCAGCCCAGCGCGTTCCGTTCCTCATTAGGACAAACCCAATTACAGCCTGGGGTCCCACAGGAGAACTGCAGCCCCTGTAGGGATGAGTGGAGACTGTGGAAGCACTGAACTCTGATCATCAGCTGCCCCCAACATCCAAGGGCACAAAGCAGTTTTGCAGAAGAATCTGGGGCAGCTCTTACGTTGGCAACAACAAAAACAAGAGGCCGAAACAGATGCAAAAGATGCACAACAGATCAAATTCAAACTGCACGAACAGAGCTACATCCTGATGTTTCCTCACTTTAAATCGCTGTTGAAATTAAAAAATATTAAAAATATATATATACAGAAGTTTGTAGGGAGAGTTAATCCACGACACACAACTTCATCAGCAAGAAATCTGCAGCATCACTGTTGCCATGGCTCCCCAGGGAGCCGTATCACCGAGCCCAGACCTATTTTAGCAGTTCATGCAGGAGCTGATGCATTTTGGAGCGCCGTCCTGTTATTCTAGAACACAGTGTGAGACTTCAGCCTGTCTCTGAAGAGATTTCAGTTACCAAACCTCAGCAGAAGATTGTCCAGAATATCCACATTATTCTGGTCACGCATCACTGTTCGCCCCCTGGGGCAACAAAGCAGCTCCCGTGTGCAGATGGTCCAACTCAGGATGTGTTATTCTACGATTCTCTGTTAGATGTTGCCAAGTGTCAGCTTCACAGTCCCACCTAACACACAGAGTGCTGCCCATGGTCTGCTGAGTATCTTAACAGGAGAATGAAGCAGCAGGTAGAAGGCAAGTACTACCCAAGTAAAACCCACAGCCCCATCATCAACCACGGCCCCACTGGTGAGTACAAACCTTGGCTCCATCACCAACCACATCCCATGGCCCCACCATCAAGCACAACCCATGGCCCCATTGCTGAGTACAACCCCTGACCCCATCAGCATGTACAGCCCACGGCCCATCAGCCTCATAAACGTTTGGACAACCATACCATCTCTTGGCTCTCTTCAATTCCTTCTCTATCCAGCAAAGCAGCACATACGTTCACGGTCTTGAATCTCAACACTTTCCCTTCCCTGATTTCCATTTCTGACTTGCATTCAAGTGATGCATGCCCTCACTCATCCTCTGATGCAGCCTAAGGCAATCTACACCCCTCATACTCCACATGGGGACTCAGCTCAGGCATCGCTGCCCTGTTGCCACTCACTGAGCAGCAGCAGAAGGAAATGGAAGAGCCCCTGCTGCACCACCTGCATTTACCTGATGTGCTCCTCCAGTTCCTTTTTTGCATGGGTCTCCTACCAGGACAGCACCCCATTAGCAAGGAAAATAACAACTTCCAGCAGATGATGGAAAGGTTAGACACACACACATCTCTATAAAAAGGATGACGCTGTCTTTAGCTTTCCCATTTTGTAGCATCATGCACCAAAGAACATTACTTCTGCAGGCACAAGTTCATGCAGAGAACACCACTTCCACCAAAATAGAACTACTTTGGGTTATGCAACGCTCATTAAAATTACAGAACCTCTCCACAACCTGACCAGCATGTTAAGGCGCACTCGAGCTCGACGGTTGTTAAGTTAGTGACTGCATCATGCAAACTGGCAGCGAGGAACTCTGCAGGAACAGACCCAACTTCCACGCCTGATGACAAGGCAGAAGGATTGGGGATGAGGCACCCGACCTCTGTGATCCCCAGACACCAATTTCTCCCGAGGAAGGCTCGGGCTGAGCAGAAAACCCAGGGTGTTATTTGACACACCATCTGTATCGTGACTACAGTCTCCGTTCTGAAGTTCCCAGGAACTTCCTTTCACTCTGTGAAATTAATGCCATCTGTTCCTTGGTCAGCAGCCAGGCAAACAGCACCAACCCCTCCAGTCCATCCTCAGCGGAGAGTCCCAAAGCCCATCAGCGCGGGGTTCTGCTGTTCTGCTCTGCTCCAGCACAGTGGTTGCTCTGGCAGGAGGTGCTTTGTACAGAGATGCTCGAGGCGCCTTCAGGCAAAGCCACAGACCAGCTGCAGGAGGGGAGCAGATGGCTGCGCTTGGCCCGGAGGGGCATTAAAACCAAACCCCATAACGTGACAGCGAGAGGGAACGTTCCCTGCCGTGGGAATGTGCAGCTCCTGCCCTTTGGTGGCACCGATGCTGCGCAGTGACGGCGACGGTTCACTGCAGCATCCCACACGGATGCCACTTTTGGTCTCCGGTGAGGAGAAGCTAATGGAACTTAACACCGAGAAGTGCAAGTTTGCTTCAAAATTCAGAGTGCTACAAAATTTATACGGAAAATCAACTCGGAACGAATTAAAAAATCATTGAGTTCTGGAACTCAGACCAGACTGTGAATCTTTTAAGGTTTGGGAATTAGCACTGTGCGCCAGGCAAGCAGAACCAGCAGCCTTTTAGGATCAGCCAACACACCGCTCATGCCCCGCTCGCTGGTGCCACCGAGGATTAAGGTGACGTGGTCATGCCGCCGAGCAGCGATGCTCGCACGCAAGCTCCAGGTTTTGCTGCCAGCCCATCACACGCACACACCTTTGCCTTGCCTGGGCCGGCTCACAGCGCTGCCTCTCAGCTGCCTCTGCTTCTCCCCATCCGGAGCAGCGGGCCGGGCCGGCAGCGCGGGCTGCCCTCTGGCCTTGGTGGGTCTCATGTAGCCCTTCAGCTGCTCCGCGCCTTTCGCTCGCTCTTTCTTTGCCTCTGGGGCAGCTCTTGGGTCGGGTTCTTCTTGTTCCTGAGCAGGGCGGGCTGCTCCAGCATCGCCTTCTGCGGTTCGGCGCTGAACGTCGCCGCCATCCTCGGGGTGGGTGTGGGATGTTGGGGCAGCAGTCGGACCCACAGCAGGTGCCTCTACTTCAGCTCCCCACCCAGGCGGGCTCTGGCTGCTCTCCATGGCTGCACCCACGCCGTTCCCCCCGCTGTCCTTCCCCATCAGCCCTTCCACTGCAGCCTGCAACGCTCCACTCCCAACTGCCACGGCACCCTTCTCCCCAGAGGGGACCCCTCCTTCTTCCCCCACCCCTCGGGCACCGTTGGGTGCCGGGCAGTGCTGTGCGTCCACCTCCTCCCGGGGAAGGGCAGAGGCAGTGCTGGCACCGCTTTGCTTTTTATCAGTCCCTTTATCATCCGCCTTCACCACAGGAGAAAGCAGAACTTCATCCTTTCTTGACTGAACGCCTCGCTGTGCTGAACGAGCAGAAGAAAGCGGTGCATCTGCCTCCAACCGCTCTTTGGCTCCATGCTCCCCTTTCTTTGGCCCCTCTTTCCCAGGCTCTTCGTGCCCCACACCCATGGGTTGCACAGGCAGTGCTTGGCTGCACACCTCCTTCCCATCGCCGGATCCGGGCTCCTTGCTGCTCTCCTCCACTGCCACTCCAGCTGAAGGCAGCCCCCCATGCGCCCCCCAGGCCAAGGACTCCACGTGGTTTCCCTGATTATCCCAAAGCGTTTGAGGGCCGATGGGGAAACTAATATTTCTGTTCTCATCTACAAAGCCCATTTCTTCCATCCCAGACTCCATCTCAGGCCCCACGGGTGGCTGCTCAGGACCAGCCTTGGGCTTTTTACCTCCTCCCTCGCTACCTCTCTTTTTAGATCTCTCGGATGAGCTGCGATCCACCTCTGCAGGATGCTCTGCACCAGGAAGGCTGACTGCCCTGCTGCCAGGGGGAGGACACAACTCCGCTCCTGTGCTGGGCTCCAGGAGGAGCTCTGGGCCAACCTCTGCCCCTTGGCATCTCTCTTTATCCCTTGTGCTCAGCTTCTCTGGCTCCAGAGGTAAAGCACAAGCTGCTGCTGTAGTAGCATCACTTGTGTCACCTGGCAGACCTACTGAAGCACTGAAATTGTTCTCTTTAGGCTGAACTTGTTGAGCATTTCCCACCTCTCCACCCACGGCAGGGATAATACCCAGACCTGGTGCTACAGACTGCCCACGGCCGCCCTCAGCCTCTCTGCCTTTCGTCCCTCTGCCTTTTTCCTCAGGTCTGTCTGCCTCCATCTCCGCGGTGGGACCAGGTGCCATCACTGTGTCTGCCCTGTGCTCTGCTGGATGGACATCTGTCTCCTTGCACTTAGCACTGCGCCACGTTTCATTAGCATCGCCTATTTCTGGCTCTGTTTTATGGCCTGGAAGAACTGGCTGATGAGAGGAACTTTGACCCTCTCCTTCGGGCTTTTCCAACACCTCCTTCGCTACAGCTGCCACGTTCTCCAGCAAAACCCCTCTTTCAGAACCAGGCACCTTCTCTTTCCCAGAGGCCATTGCCTTCGTTTCCCCAGTGCCCTTCTCTTTGCTTGGAAGAGCTCCCACCCCAGTGTCCAGGACAGCCGTCAGCCCAGAAGGCCCTTTCTCACTCCTTTTCCTTTTCCCATCACTACACCTTTTCCTACGTTTGTCTGCATCAGAACCCACCCCAACCCATCCACCTGGAGAAGCATCTCCAGCCTCTCTGCCCTCACCCACAACATTGACCTCCTTTGTTTTGCTGACGGTGTCAGCCACGGCGAGATGCTTTGTATCATCTCTCCTACCCGCTGGAAGGAACTGTTGGCCCAAAGCCCCCAGCTCAGCCATCTCACATTTCCCAGCATTTTCTCTGGGCTCCTCTGTTACTCCCTCAATGGGCCTTTGTGCTGCACTTACATCCAACGTGTTCTCCTGGAAGCACACAGCAGTGACACAGCCCCTCTCATGGCTGACCTCCTGAGCTGTGCCAGCTCTGTCAGGAGAGCTATTAAGGCCCATCTTACTCTCCACAAAAGGCTGCTGGAAAAAGCTTTTTTCTCCTTTTTTACTCCTCCCATCGTTACCTCTCTTTTTGGGCTTGTCTGCCCAGTGTCCCCTGGCAGAATAACCTCCCTCCCTGCCTTTATCAGGGAAAGGCCTTTCCCTCATCACCTCCCCCATCCTCACTCCATCAGTGCCCACATCCTCCAGACCCTCAGAGAAACCTCTCACTTTTCTGCCTTTCCCTTCACTGCGCTTTTTTTTAGGTCTGTCCATCCCGTGTGCAACACCGAGGTCTCTTCCAGTCTGCTGCTCCTCTGCAATAAACCCATTCCCTTTGTTTCTGTCAGGGGAATACGCTGCTGTACCTCCGTGTGCTGCCTCAGCAGGAGCAGCTCTGCCTTCCATTCGAGCTGGCTGCTCAGAACCATCAGCCTTCCTGTTCTGCAGAGCAGAGCCTTCCTCGGGGTTCTGAGCCATTAATGGTGTAACAGACACTTTGGTGGCATCTGCTGGGCTCTTCAGTACTCCCTCAGAAGTACTTAAGCCAACGGCCTCGCGCTCACTGGGGGATGCCAGCTTAGCTCCATCTGCTGCCCTTGGCTTGTTGGGAAGCAGGGTGGATGGGGCTGGAGGAGGTGCCTGGAAGGATCCATTGCTCAGCCCTTTGTTTTGCTCACCACTCTCCTGCGCTGCTTCTCCCAGTGACCCTTTGGAAGCCTGAAGCTCGCAGCTGGTGTCACTGGGTGCTCTGTGCTTGGGAGGTACACCCTTAGCATCCTTACCTTTATCAGAAGGGAGAATTTGGGAAGGTTTAATCTCTGAAGGAGTTTCTACCTTGCTTGTATCGATGGCTGCTGAAGGAGATGCCTTCAGCTCAGCCCACGCTGGCTCCCCACCCTCCCTCTTCCCATCTCTATCAGGAAATCTTCCCACAGACGTGGCTGGCACCTCTGCTGCTATGGGCTCCCCCACCTCAGCCTCTCCTCTCTGCTCTGAGGGCACCTTTCCTTTCCCTTCGCACTGCACCATCGAGCTGTCAGCTCTCATTTCCTCTGCTCTCGTGATGTCTCTGTTTTTCTCATCCAGCACTGATCTGAACGGCGCGCTGCTCTTGGTGCCCTGCCGGCCCGGCGCTGGCACGACACGGCCCTTTGGATCATCCAGGATGTGACTCCCAGTCATTACTGCAGCATCCTTTGGCACATCTGAAGCTCTGTTTCCTGAGGCAACCAACAGCTCTGCATGCGCGCCGGGCCCAACGGCTGCTTTCTGCACCTCAACAGCTAACGGAGAACTCTTAGGAGCTCTGCAGACCGCCGTGTTTTCATCCCAGAACTCCACGGCTCTTGGCAGATGGTTCCTCCTTTGCTTCGGTTTCTTTTTCTTCTTCTTGCCCATGGCCAGAGCTCCTTCCATATCCCAGCTCTCCCGCGGCGCATCTCTGCAGCTCTGCCTGAGCTCTGGGAGAGGCTCCGCCGCCCTCCTGGCTGCAGCCGTGCCATGCAGGGCAGCTCCGGCAGCGCACGGCAGCTCTGCAGCACAGCGCTGCTCTGCTCCAGGCTCAGAGCTCTTCTGCTGCGGGGGACCTACGGGGTGCTCCTCTGCTCCATCTGCAGTGGGCAGCAGGGCAGGCTGCGCTCGGCCAACCCCGCGTCCACTCGGTTTGTTAGCTTGCCTCATTTGTGCAGGAGGCGGACCTGGAATACAGGAAGCCTGCTCAAACATCAAAGCATTGGCTGCAATCAAATACAGAGGTACAGTTGCAAACGTGACTTCAGCTCTCCAGCAGGAGGTCAAAGTCCTCGGTGGGGCTGGGAAAGGCGTCTCTACACAGCAAACAGTTTAAACTGTTAGCGATAAACTCTTCGGTGCTGTTTAAAAATGCACAACTGCCAATATGTGCTCTGACCCCACTGAAGAGCACTGGTTCCTGTAAGGACACCTCATCTCTCGCTAGGACTGCATTAAGGACCTGCGTTGTCTCAGCACAACATCACAGACAGGCTTCTTATCTCTCTTATGGGCAGCCTTCCATCATGTAAAAATAGAGCTTTGGAGGGAAGAGGAGCCTGGGGGGAGGGCAGCAAGGAGCTACGGCCCCAGCACCCACAGAGCAAGCAGAAGTCATCTGCTGTGCTCAGCTCTAAGCAGCACCGGGTTTCCTTAGCTACCGCTTCAAGGGAGCATCCATCATCTGCCAGCGAGCCCTGGGCCACAAATCAGCCTCCAGCCACACGTGCAAGCAGTGATGGCTCACTGGAGGGGCTGCGTTAGTGGAGCAGGGAAAAAAAAATCACCTTCTCCTTTGGTTAATTATAAAATCCAATTTGGAAGGAGGTCTTCACTGGGAGTACTGCAATAAGAGTTAACGGTTCGTTTAATGCCAAAAAAAAAACAACCCTAAAAATAAAATGGTGGTAATGGCAAAAAGATGGCGAGTTCCTGTACTCTACAACTGATACAAGGCAGTGGTGGTGATAAATCAATAGCAGCAGCCACACGTGGGCTTTTGGTGCCATGAACAAGGAGGGGAGAAGAGAGGGAGCACAGCAAACAGAGGCACAGTGCAAGCAGAACCTCTGAGGGATGCAAAGAACCGCACAGCTCATTGGTGCAAAACCTTTTTTGCTTGCTCAGGTGGCAGAGCAGTCAGCAGGAAAAGGTGAGCGGCTCCCAGAGGACATTTCCTTCCTAAAAGCAAAGTGCTGTTTATGTTCTACCTGCAGGCTCTCGCAGGGCTGCTTCTTGCGGGGGCTCCGTGTGCTGGATGTGGTTCTGCTCAGCCTCCTCCTTCCGCTGCTCCATTGCAGGCACATCCACAGCAGTGACACTCTGCTCTGAAGGGAGCTCTTTGTTTTCTAGCGCTGTGTCTTCTTTTGTTTCTACTGGAACTGAAATTGAAAAGAAAAATTGAAATACAAAAACACACGACCAGAATATTTCAGCCTTAGGGAACACAGAAACCATCAGCTCAAAAAAAGCTGCTGGGAAGGGTTTGGGTTCTATTTCACTTTTAGCAGGGATGAAGATGATGAGGTCTGATAGATGACCATGTATTATCTCCCCACGATCCCATGTCAAGAAGCAGTTTTATATTTTGGCTGATGGGCCAAGGAATAGGTAAAGTGTGGAGCAAAGGCCACTGTGGTGCTCACAGACACAGGGTGAGATGGTTAATTAAAAAGTAGTAACAACATACACAAAAATTTTAAAGAACCAACTGAATTTGGACTCTATGCCCTCTTGACTGTAGAACAGACCGACAACATGCTCCATCACCAGCACAGCATCCCTACCCAATGCCACCATCCAGTGTTTGTGTGACACCAAGCTGAGCAGCATGGATGAAATAATGGAAGGAAGGGATGCCGTGCAGAGGGACCTCGAGAGGCTGGAAAGGTGGGAACAGGTGAACCTGATGAGGTTCAACACAGCAAAGGACAGAGTTTTGCACCTGGGCCGGAGGAATCCCAGGCATCCGTACAGAATGGAAGGAGCAGTGCTTGAGAGCAACCCTGTGGAGAAGGACCTGGGGGTCCTGATGGATGAAAAGCTGACCGTGAGCCAGCAGTGTGCTCTTGTAGCTTGGAAAGTAAATGGTATCCTGGGCTCCATCAGCAGAGGGGTGGCAGCAGGGACAGGGAGGTGATTGTCCCTCTCTGCTCTGCCCTTGTGAGGCCCCACCTGCAGTGCTGTGTCCAGGTCTGGAGCCCCCAGGACAAGAAGGACAGGGTCCAGAGGAGCCACAAAGATGCTCAGAGGCTGCAGCACCTCCCTACAAAGACAGGCTGAGGGAGCTGGGCTTGTTCAGCATGGAGAAGAGAAGCTGCGGGGTGACCTCAGTGCAGCCTGCAGTGCCTGAAGGGAGCCTGCAGCCAGGAGGGGAGTCAGCTCTGTGCAAGGGGAGATGGCAGCAGGACGAGGGAAATGGTTTGGAGCTGAGGGAGGGCAGCTGGAGGTTGGATGTGAGGGGAAGTTGTGTGCTGTGAGAGCGGGGAGGGGCTGGAACAGCTGCCCAGAGAGGCTGTGATGCCCCGTCCATCCCTGGAGGTGTTGGAGGCCAGGTTGGATGGGGCCCTGGGCAGCCTGGGCTGCTGTGCAATGGGGAGGTTGGTGGCCCTGCATTGGTGGGGGGTTGGAGCTTCGTGATCCTTGAGGTCCCTTCCAACCCAACCGTTCTGTGATTCATAGGCACCTTGGAATATTTTCACATGTACTTTGGAAGATACCCACACAGACACTACCAAATCCCCAGCCTGGCAATTAAAACAAGTTTCAAGTTGTAAAACACCCACACCAGAGACCATGGTTCAGGGACTGTGAGAAATGCTGATACAACAAACATGAGTGGAAACAAGAAGCTCCACAAAGGTCATGGGGGTTGGAACTACATGATGGGGGTTGGAACTACATGATCCTTGAGGTCCCTTCCAACCCGGGTGATTCTGTGATTCTGTGATCTCTGAAGTCAGAGCACCAGCAGACACAGTCAGTGGGCATGATGGGGTGGGTTGGGGTTGGACATGGGGCTGGATGTGGCTCTGGGCAGCCTGGTCTGGTGGTTGGCAACCCTGCCCACAGCAGAGGGGTTGAACCTAGACGATCACTGTGGTCCTTTTCAACCCAGGCCATTCTATGGGAACCTCAGGGGTCTTTCCCAGCCTCAGCAGTTCTGTGACTCCATGGTGTATTTGTAACACAGTCCCTACATGATGTTTACAACCTCATAGGTAAATCTGTTGCTTTGTCCTTTGTGAGAATAAGAAAAAATTGTCTGAGAAAGAACTTGGGCGCCTTCAGCTGAGAGCAAAGGGCCTCTGTGGTTTCACTGCTGGTCTGAGCTCCTCACCTGTGGGTTCTGGGACGTGGTTGGTTGGTGCTGGAAGGTGCTCAGCGTGGTGGCTGGCAGACGGTGAGCCGTCCTTCACTTTCTCTAATGAAACATCAACATAACCCTCGGGGGCTTTTGGTTCTTGTTCCATGCTTACAGTTGTTTCTGAAAATGGAATGCAGAGAATAAAAAATGGCATTAATTTGGATCAGATTAAGCAACATAAAATCACCTCCTCAACTAACCCCCGTCTTCTGAAGGAAGCGAGAGGAGTTCCTCGCTTTCAAAAGAGTGATAACCTGCCTTGGGATCACTCCCCACCAGCTCTCCCCTCCTGCAAGTTTAAACATCCTGCTAAAGCAGATCTGTATCACAGAATGGTTTGGGCTGGAAGGGATCTCTAAAGGCACTGTTGTCCACCCCTCTCCGATGCACAGGGACACCCAGAGCTCCACCTGTGCTCACAGCCCATCCCTGACTGTGGGTGTCTGCAGGGATGGGGCACCACCACCAGTCACTGCAATCTGTGCAGTGCCTCACTGCCCTTAGTGCATGAACTTCTTCCTTCTATCCATCTCAATCTCTCCTCTATTAGTTTGCAAGCATTTCCCTTTGTGCCATCGCACAGGCTCCGCAGCACTCCATTATCCCACCAGGAGCGTGGGTGCCACTGCTGTCCTGCCACATCATTTCAAGGCTGATGGAAGCTTTTGGGCAGAGGAACTCACCTGCAGGAGCTTCTTGGGAGGGGGACTTGTCACACTCAGCAGAGGGCTCGGATGTCACCAGCTCTTCCACTGCAGTGACTTCAGTGTCAGCTGCACAGACAGACTTTGCTTCTGGTGCAGAGACAAAACTTGAATCTACAGGAGAAGGTTTGGCATCCAGTGCTGGAGCAGTGCTGGAATCCATAGCGTGAAGATGGTCTGCTTCTGCTGGAAAGGTAAACTCCGAATCTGCAGCACGATGAGACTCAGCATCAGCTGCAGGGGCAAATGTCAGATCCACAGCATGGTGAGGATCCATATCTGCTGCTGGGGAGAACTCCAAATCCACGGCGCAATGGGGCTGAGCGTCTGCAGCTGGGCTCCAGGCAGCATCCAGCACTGGGGTGGATGCAGCAGCAGCACTGGGAGGTTTGGCCTCTGCTGCAGGGGCAAAGCCCAGATCCGTGCCCTGGGGGGGCTCAGCTTCTGCTGGAGGCACAGATCCAGCATCCACAGCATGAGGAGGCTTCGTGTCCCCTGCCAGGACGGGCCCAGCTTGCTCTGCATCCGAGGCAACAACATTCTCAGCATCTGCTACAGAAACACAGATGGCAGAAACGAGCAAAAAAATAAAGAACATGAACACCTGACAGCACAGGCTATGGCTGGAGAACAGAGGGCTCCCTCTCCCCTCTTCTCACTCTTTACACATCGACAGAGATGGCACCACCTCCCAGTGAACCACCAGCTGCACTCTGTTCTTCCATGCCCAACGTGGCCTCATTCATTTTTACACATTATCTACTAAAACTCGAGCTGCTGGTTTCAAAATAACATTTGCCAGCTCCTAGTACTATCAGATATCTCTGCACTTAAGCAGAGTCCTGAAGGGACTTTTCCAGCTTTAGCTTGCAATGATTTTAAACTGAGACAGGGGAGGTTTGGGTTGGATATGAGGAGGAAGTTTTTCCCCCAGAGGGTGGTGAGGCACTGGCACAGGCTGCCCAAGGAGGCTGTGGATGCCCCATCCCTGCAGGCATTCCAGGCCAGGCTGGATGTGGCTCTGGGCAGCCTGGGCTGCTGGTTGGTGACCTGCACACAGCAGGGGTTGGAGCTGGATGAGCACTGTGCTCCTTTGCAACCCAGGCCATTCTATGAGTCTGTGATGATTATCAAAGGCCACATTATCAGGAGCCCCAGTGTCAGAGCAGCCCTCAGCTTCAGCCACCCCAGGCAGCATCTCTACGTGGTGACCCCGATACCTGAGATGCACAGCTGAGGTTCAAAAGCAGAATCTCTACTCGCTGCCATTAGGGAAATCAATGAAGTCCCACTGTGATAAAACCAACATTCCGCTGAACAAAAGCAAAAGGGGGGTGGTTCCTTTCTTCTCTTTAAGGATTTTGATTTTACTGCTGAATCAGACGGTGAGGAAACAAACACGTACCACGAGTCCCCTGCTGTCTGTCAATAAATACCCTACAGATGAGCAGTGGTACCTTGTGGTGCCTCGGCAGCTTCGGCCTCTGCTGGAGATGCTGCTAACGCCGTAGGAACAAAGTAAGGAGCTGCTGCTGCAGGGCACTCCGGCACAGTCAGCACTTCTGCTTCCAGGGCTGTGGGGGGCACTGGGCATAAAGAACAGTTTATTAAGAACTCAAGGACCTCAGCAAACAGCTTCAGCTCCTGGACTTGGGGTGCGAATCGCTCCTCTGTCATCAGAAGAACGATGTGGGCAATGTAAGAGCATACAGCATGCTGTGGGAAGCCCTGCAGCAGCACTGTGCAGCACCCAGCAGTACAGCACCCAGCTGTAAGGGAGCCCTGAGCTCCAAACCCACCGCAGATCCATCAGCAGTGCTGAAGGGCTCTACTCTTGGCTCCTTCACCAAAATGAGGCAGACCCTTGGGAGTGAACACACAGCCCTGATTTGTACACCCTCCCTCCCCCCCGAAAATCTGTCTTTCATTTCTCCACTGCTTTTTGTTTCTTGAAAAGGCAGATGAGGACAGAGGCTCTGCTTCTGCTCTTCACAAACTCTACAGACAGTTCCCATAGATCAACTCAGAACTATTTTTACCTGGGGGCTCGGCAAAGAAAGAGGCATCCGGTCCCTTTGCGTAATGCTGAGCTCCCATCCAATGATCTTCAGGCACTATGGAAAACACAACACAGTCAGTCCCGGCCCAACACTGCTTCATTTTTAAAGCTCTTTGCTCAAGGGATCAACTGCTGCTTTTTCGACTTCACTCTTGGGTAACGAGTTACCAGCTCACTTCAGGAATGCCATCAGAACACCGTGGTCTTCTGCAATCACTACTAGGCACAGCCTGCACCGCACAGGAGTTATAGCCAGCACTGACCCCAGGAGCTGACAGAGCAGGTTTGGACAATTCCACAACCACAGAATGGTTTGAGTTGGAAGGGACCCTAAAAGGCCACGTGGTCCCAATCCCTGCAGTGCACAGGGGCAGCCCCAGCCTCACCAGGTGCTCAGAGCCCATCCTCTGTCACTCCAAATGACTTGAGATGGGGAACCACCACCTCTCTGAGAAGTGAGAATCTTTGCTCGACGGAATATTCATCTCCAAAGTACCTTTAGAACATTCACACTGACCAAGGACTGGTGTTTCCAATGGGATATTTTGGAATCTTGACTCACTCTACGTCTGCCTGTTCTACTTTGGAGAAGAGAAGGCTGCAGGGAGACCTCATGGTGGCCTTCCAGTGCTTGGAGGGAGTGGATAAACAGGAGGGGAACGGCTGTGTGTGAGGGTGGGTGGTGATGGGACAAGGGGAATGGTTTTAAACTGAGACAGGGGAGGTTTGGGTTGGATATGAGGAGGAAGTTTTTGAGCCAGAGGGTGGTGAGGCACTGGCACAGGTTGCCCAAGGAGGCTGTGGATGCCCCATCCCTGCAGGCATTCAAGGCCAGGCTGGATGTGGCTCTGGGCAGCCTGGGCTGCTGGTTGGCGACCTGCACACAGCAGGGGTTGGAGCTGGATGAGCATCGTGCTCCTTTGCAACCCAGGCTGTTCTGTGATTCTATGATACTCCCCAACAAGGTTCTTTAGGACTACTGCATTGACAATTTCCAGTGGCACATCCTCCAAACCCAACCAGAGGAAGACAGATGGTGACAGCAAAACATCTGTTTCTCACCTGCTTTGTCTTGCAGAAACTGTGCAGCTGAATCAAGGCCCATGAAGGCTGACGGGTCCAAGACCTCTGCAGGGCAATAGGGGGACCCCAGGAAAGGTTGCTGGGGCACCATCACAGACCCATGTGGCACTGAAGAAACAAAAAGCTGCTTGTCAGCCCTGGGCTGCCTCTAACAACTCCCCTCCACAATTTTAAGTCTACAGCATCTGCAAAATAGATGACACTGCTCTGCTCACAAGCAGCTTACATAAGATTTGTCACCAACTCTATCAGTTGCTGCTCCTTCGTATTGTGAACTCTATATGTGTTTTTTTTTCCAGCAAGGTCTAAACAGTAAATGAGTGCTTCTGCTCCTGTGAATTCCTGTTAACAAGCACACCAGATGCAACAACCCAGGCACTGAAGCTCCCTTGGAGGGAAAGGCTCTTGGAAATTGGGTGTTCAGCACTGAAGGTAAGAGCCAATGGCAACTCCAGCCCAACTCAATGGGTGCAGGGCCTTTCTGCATGAAGGCACTTCAAAAATGACCTTCCTGGAAGCAGGCACTGGAATGCCTCCAACCACAAAAAATAACCATGCAAAGAGATGACATCTCTTATCAGCTGAACAGCTTCCAGTACATGCAAGTCAATGGAGGAGACACCCACAAATGGCCACCAGAACGAGCGCTGAGGAGGAACTCACCATGGATTTCTGTGGAAGCGTCAGCATGGTCTGTGAAGAGCTGCACATTCTTCATATCAGGAGGAAAGGACAGGTCTGGCAGGTTCTCTGCTCGGTGCACACCAAAGGGGTCTGAGGGACACAGAATGAGGCAGCATTACTGCAGGGCTGGAGACACAGCGTGGCACAGCATTGTTGGCACAGAGATGCATGCAGTGCCACCATGGAGGTTGGTATCAGCACGGCAGAGGGAAGGACCTCCAAGGAAAGCTGCCTGCCAGAGGAGGGCCAGCACCTCCATCATTAGACTGCACGGCCAACAGAAACCAGGGCTGGCTGCTCAGACTGCTTAGAAAGGAAAACTGACCGCAATTCAGATGGTAACTGCTGCACCAAGAATCCTTGTGCCACTGCGTTCTGTAAGAAGGGTTGTTTCCCCACAATGCCATCCCTCTGACAAGGAAATGCCACAGAGATGAGCTTCCCATGAGCTGCTCACTGTGCCTCAACACACCCAGGCTCTGTAAGGCTGCAAAGGGATGGAAGCATGGCCTTCCCCTCGCAGGCAAAGCTCCCCATGGCTCACAGCCCCCTCCCATTCCCCACACGGCCCATTTCAGACACCACACAGATCTCTGGATTAAGCACAATTAAAGGAGCCTCAGTTGAAGGCTTTCACTCTCTCTCTATTTTTGTATTTTTAAATGTCAGACGTGCTATCTTAGGAGATGACAGCACAACTGCCACTGTTCATTGTGCTCCAAAATGTCACACTGGAGTGAGCATCGTGCAATCTCTTATAAATCCATCAGACTATTTGAGATGCCAGTACAATGTCTGCCTTCAGAATACACTTCAGAAAATGGTTGCTGCACTAGATAACCCACTGACTCACTTCACTTCACATTCATTTCATTTAGGCCCAGAGCACACAGTGCAACGGGCCCAGTGCTTAAATTGCCCCCATCGTCCACAGCATCACCTGGCTATGGAGTGCAGCTCCAATAACCCACTCTTCCACCTCACACAGCAACAGGGGAAAAGCTGCACTTCAGAAACTAAAGGCTCTTTGCTTCCAGTTGTCACATGAATCATTTTTCATCATCGTAACAAAACAGAACTCCTTCACAGAGCATCTTAGAAAATACGAGATTCAGGCAGCAAGAAGGTTATTGAGTGAACAGGTCTGCCGTGTTCAAAAATCCTAAACACATCAGGTTTTGTCCTGTTTCTGCCACTGTCCTTCTCAGGCTGGCGGCCTGCTGCAGTCTGGGCAGCACATTTTTCCTAGCTCAAAAACCTGCAAGTCATTTTCCATAATTTTTTAATCAAAAACAAGAGAAGTGCCTGGAGGTGTTGGAGGCCAGGTTGGATGGGGCCCTGGGCAGCCTGGGCTGCTGTGCAATGGGGAGGTTGGTGGCCCTGCATTGGTGGGGGGTTGGAGCTTCGTGATCCTTGAGGTCCCTTCCAACCCAACCGTTCTGTGATGCTGTGTGAAGAGAAAACTGGGTGTTGGAAGAGCAGGTATCTCTGTGCAGGCGCAGGGCACGCTGCCCATAGGTGTGCAGACTGCGCTCCAGGGCAAGGCAGGGGCTGGGCTCAGCTCCAGCCTGACAGCAGTTCAACCTGGTGTGATGAGGTTCCACGTTATAAGAAAACAGCAGCACATTCTGAGGAAGGCGTGAGCACGAGAAGGAAGTTTTAGGGATGGATGCGAGGGCTCTGCTGTGTTACAGAAGTGACCAAAGTGGTGCTACAGCTGTGGAGCACCGTACCTGCCATCTCCATGGGTTTGAACACAGGCTGTGGCTCAAAGCACAGATCTCTGTCATCCATGGCCCACGTGTCATTGCGGTCGAGGAACTCCTTGTAGGACAGCTTTTCATCCATGATTTCTCCCGGGAACACTGAAATTGGAGAAGAAAGTGGTGCAGTCCATACAAAAATAATAAATCAAAGCAATTCAACATTTATTCCTGAACGATACGGCATCGAAAAGGCAACAAACAGCACCAACTGTCGGCCAAGAGTTCACGGCTCTTTTCCTACTGCTTTGATCCAGATAGTTAGATGGAAGATGCAGAACAACGGGAACTTCTGCATCAGAAAATGACAAACAGGACCAAGAACAGACAGCTCACAGCACAGTGCTGTGCTACTGCCAAATGCTGGACGACCCACGGCAGCTGCTTTGGGAGCTCACCCCAAAGCTGGCAGAACAGCCCCAACCACACCTGGCAGCAAACAACAGGAGCACAGCTTGCTTCCAGTTACAAGGAAGACCAGATCATCTTAGGGAATGCCCTCCCTGAATACCTACAAGGCCGTTATTTGGATATCTTCCCAAACCCAAACCTTCCCCAACTCACAACACCAGCTTTCCATATGCATCCACACACAGAAGGTTTCCAACCAGCCAAGGAAATCTGGAAAGGAAATGGCTTCAGACTAAAAGGGGGGAAGCTGAAATGCTGGCACTGCTCTGAGCTGTGGTGCCCAGGCCTGGAGGTGCCCAAGGCCATGGCTGGGCCCTGGGCAGCCCGAGTTGGGGGCAGGCAGCCCACGGCAGGGCTTGAGGCTGGGGGCTGTGGGGTCGCTTCCAACCCAACCATGCAGTGGTTCTATGACTGTGTGACAACACCCTGCCCTGACAAGGGAGGTAAGACAGATAATTTAATGGGAGTCCATGACTGCAGGAGAGCTGCCGCAGCGCTGACCCGGCTACACAGCAATAAACTGACCTCTGCATGCACTCTGAAGGCCAGAGAGTGGAAATGCAAACTGTGATGCCTGTAATTACAAAGCACTGCCTCCCTTCTGATGTGTAAACAACAAATCAGAGAATGGCTCTGCAATAAATGCCGTTTCTGCCCACGAGGGGAGTGATGCCCATGGCCATGATGCAGCCCCACAGATGCTGCTGGCATCCCAGTGAGGTTCTGCCAGTGGCTCTCTGCTGCTCTGTGCCCATATTTGCCACGGCCACAGGAGCTGATGGCAGCTGGGGGACCCTGGGCAGCCTGGCCTGGTATGAAATGTGGACACACCATTGGTGGCCCTGCCTATGGTGGGGGGGTTAAAACTTCACGACCCTTGAGGTCCTCTCCAACCCAAGTCATTCTGTGATGCCGTGTGATCAATATCACAGTACCACCAAACCTCTACCATCACCGAGTCCAACTGTCCCCCACCCCCACTATGGCCACCCATGGAATCACAGAACCATTCAGGCTGGAGAAGAACCCCGAGGCCACCATTCCCACCCACCCCCACCATGCCCACTGCCATTAGCCTCATGCTACATCCCCTGCTTCTACAACACCCCCAGGATGGTGTCGTCCCCCCCCCCGGCAGCTGTGCCAGCACCGATCACCCTTTGGAGAAGGAATTGTCCCTATAAGGCAAACTGAGCCTCCCCTGGTGCAGAGTGATGCCAGCCCCCCTGGATGGGAAACATTAAATGAGGCATCAGATGAAACCAGGGCTCAGAAGCAGCATCACATCGCTGCTCACACCCAGCAGCACAGGGCACAGCTGATGGCCGGCGTAGGAGCAGCAGCTGTGCAGTGCAGCTGGGAGCAGCGGCTCCCCTTGAGCTGTTCTGGCTCCATGAGTGTGCCAAACACAGGCTGTGTCAGCTCCCACATCAAGTGAGAGCAACAAACCCATCACCACTCCTGGACACGCGGTGTGCTGCTTCCCAGCCACAAAACAGCAGAGCTGACACCTGCAGCCAATCTGCCCCCTCCCCATCCCAATGCTTGGTTCCTCCCCACTGAACTGAGCCCAGTGGAGGACGAGGAAAGAGATGGCAGAAAACTGCAGGAAAGAAGGTTTCCCAGTTCCAAATGCAGCTCTGCAGAGCTAAGCACCACAGCACCCACGGGATGCACCACACAAGCCCAAAGCAAACAGAAACCTCCAGCTGAACTCCCTCAAGGAGCACTGCAGCCAAGTGCCTCCAAACACCAACCAGCAGCAAACACAGCACAAAACATCAACTGAACATCCCACAAACCTGCCATTACCTCCGGTATTAAAGCTCTGCTCACAGCTGAACACCTCGTTATGATCAGCGCTAACAGGAGGTAACAGCTGACAAAACCTCAGCTGAGGAAAAGCAATCCCTGCACAGCACTTACACAGCAAAGTCCCTTCTGAAAGCAGGAATGTGGATCCCATGCACACAGCCTTCCCCGAGATGATCTGGACACACACAGCATTCAGCACAGCCACTGCCAGCACCCCCTTCTTTCTTCTGTCATCTGCTCAGAGTTAATCCATGCAGAGCAGCACCCACAGCACACAGAGCTGCAGGGCACAGGGGAGAGCAGCACTGTGGGGAGGGGATTACAGTGGCAAAGCCTTTGTACTGGGGGAGATGCTAATCTTGGGAGGGCAGATCTCTAGCTAGAGGTTAAGTACCTTCTAAGTTAATGAGTCTGGAGCCACGGGATGCCCCTGCCAGAGCCAAACCAAGCAAAGAGGGAAAGAGAAGCTTAAGAGCTTCTCTCATATGGCTGATCCCCAAGCTAATTTGCTCAGACTGCGCTGGTCCAGCATCTCCATGGGATGCCAGGCACGCTAAGGCATCCACCGAGACTTGTTTTGGTGGAACAATCCCCATCCCACCACCAATCTGTGGGGACCACAAAGGAAATGAGGCTGCACAGCCTCAGCAGAGCACATCTGACCCTCCTCTGCAAGGAACGTGAAGCAACATTGGAACAGGCTGCCCAAGGAGGCTGTGGATGCCCCATCCCTGCAGGCATTCAAGGCCAGGCTGGATGTGGCTCTGGGCAGCCTGGGCTGCTGCTTGGCGACCTGCACACAGCAGGGAGGTTGAAACTAGGTGATCTTTGAGGCCCTTTTCATTCCAGGCCATTTTATGATTCTATGAACAATGGCAGCAGGCAGAGAGTTGGGAGCATGCATGGCTTTATGCTCGTATGAAGCTGTGAGCTGCACTGGGAGCATCCCAGCTCCTCCGTTTTGCACTGCTCCACCAACACCAGCAACTTCAGATTCTTGCTTCGTTCCATGGAAGGCTCCAACCCCTCCAGATGAGCACTGCAGACAAGCTGCACCCATGCCCCAGGATCGAAGGGACAGGCAGACAAGCAGCTACATGAAAAAGGCTTAGCTATCAGCAGACTGCACTGCACCCAGGGCTGGATGAGGTTACGTTAAAACTGACCTCGCTGCAGGGAAAAGCAAATTAAAATCCACCACCGAGTTGGATGGGGAAGATCAGGAAGATACGGCGGGTCCACAAGAACCTGGAGGGCATTTCAGATGGCGCTGACAATTGGAGAAGCATTTATTGCTTTCCTGACGAAATTCCACGCCGTTACATAAGCTGGAATGGTAAAAGAGCTGAGTGCTTCTGACAGTCAGAACCAGTGTCACCTCTCTGCAAAGATGCACAGTCAGAAGCTGCAAAGTTCAATGAGAGTTCACCACTTGGGGCCTCAGCCCAGTGATCAGCCTCTCCAGATCCCCCTGTTGGCCTTCCCACCCCCAGGCAGATCAAGACTTCCTTGCAATTTGGGCTCAGCTGCTCTACTCCCCCAACCAGACCCTCTACCGACCCCTGCGAAGCTCCACCTGTGACCGAGCACCAGTGGGATGCGACTCCATTCCCCACCACTCTCTGGGCCCGGCCACATCCAGTCGGTTCTTTACCCAGCCAAAAGTGTATCTGTCCAAGCCATGGGCTGCCAGCTTCTCCACAATATGCTGGGAGACAGTGCCAAAGGCTTTGCTGCAGGCAGACCACATAACAGCCCTTCCCTCGTACACCAGACGGGTCGCCCGTCACAGGAGATCAGGCTGACCAGGCAGGACCTGCCCTTCATCGACCCACGCTGGTTGGGTCGTTGTCTGGCTGTCCCACACACAGCTCATCTCCCTCAAGATGATCTGCTCCACAACCCTTGGGGCACCGAGCTCAGGCTGACGGTTCCCCAGATCCTCCTTACGACCCTTCTTGGGGATGGGAGTCCCAAAGGTGGGATGCGGCGCTGGGGGATGCGACCAGTGGGCATGGGGGGGTAGGCTGGGGTCGGAGGTGGATCTCAGAGGCCTCCTCCCACCTGCACGGCTCCGTGATCGACACGAAGCTTGGAGAAAGCAAGCGTGGCCAAGCAAGGCACCCAGAGAGCAGCAAACAGCAGGCAAAATGGGTTTCTCCCGCTCGGCTCATTCCAGAAGCACCATTCTCACTGACCCAAAAAAGCATTTGTGAACAAGGCATCTGACCCTGGTTTGGGGCAGGTGGTCTGATTTTTGTAACAAAGGCACTTCAAGTCCTATTTTTGTACAGCTGACGCCAGAGGTTCATCTCCACGGCGTTGTCACAGGCACACGGAAACACAACAGCTCTGTTTTGGAAACCTCTGACTTCAAAAGGGAGCGGGCATCTGCACAGTGAGCTGAGAAGGATGTTTGCTGGAGGGAGGTGGGGCTACAGGGCTGCTGCCTGTGCTGCTTTGACATCAGGCTCTGGATTGGTATTACTTACTTCTTTTATGTGCTTTTTTTTTGCCATTTGCATTTAAAAACGGAGAGGTTGAGAACGGAGTGTTTCAATGGACAGTGCTACTGATTCACATGGGGTTCCCTCCTGCAGCAGAGGGCTCTCTGCATGCCCTACCAGTGTCTCCTTCAACCCAAAGCTGTACCAAACCCACAAAGCCATCCCACGAGAGCCCAGTGTGGGATGCAGGCAGCCAACAACACAACGCTGGACATATGGAAGTCCTGCAGCAGCAAAGCTAAGGCTGAGCCTGCTGCAGCTCCCACCCCCTTGGGCCACAGATCTGAGCTTCACCCTTCTGCACTGAGACCAAATCATGCTGACCCAAGCTATTGCTAAAAACAAGCCTGCAAACACTCCATGCAGAGCCTTTCGTCAGCTTTAAGGTTAG